CCTACCGGGTAGTTTGCCTGTGCGAGGGAAGGTGAGGGCAGCGCCTTTCACGAAGGTGGGATGCACTGGGTATTTCCAAGGACCCGCGCATTGCACCGCTGTGCTAGTGGGTAGTGCCGGGCCAGCGAGTAGGGTGAGAGCTCAATGATGGGGACTGGACAGGCTCCCCACTCCACTCCCCGCGTCACGTCGTCTACATTTCGGGGGGCGGGTGGCCCCTGTTCATGTGGCCTTTAGTGTTCGGAATGACGTAGGAAGGTAAGATCCTCCCCCCGGGGTCAGGCTGAGGGTGAGGGTTAGGATGAGGATTCCGGTGAGTGACAGCCTCGCAGTTTCTGCACCTGGGTATCGGCGTGCGGCTTTCCTAGTGAGTATCAGCATGAGATTTCACCTTAGGCTCAGCCCCAGTGGAGGAAGTCGAGGACCACCCTCTGCAAAAGTAGGAATCAGGTGGTGGGTTAGGGTTAGGGTTAGGACAAGGGAGCACGACACGGCAGGAATTCACACAGCAGACAATTTGGGCGTGAGAGGTAAGGTGAGGGCAGTGACTTTTGTGAAGCTCGCATGTATCGTGGTTTTCCCTCGGACCGGAGCCTTGCCGCCTTGACAGAATCGGGAGGGAGGGGCCATCGCCTAGCGTCAGAGCTACATTTAGGGGCTGGAACGGATTCCCCGTTGAGCTCCCCGTGTAGTGTAGTGTGTGACGGAGGGTAAGGCATCGTGTTCTTTGGACCCTGAGTTTTAGGAATGATGTACGAATGTAAGTCCCTCCTGGAGGCTCAGGGATAGGGTTAGGGTTAGGCGGAGGATTCCGGAGAAGGATAGGTTTGGGATTGCGCTGCCTGGGTGTCGGGCTGTGTGTCAAGGCTTGTAATTAGCAGAGCTCGAGAAGGGGAGATACCTGCAAATGGGACAAGAGAGGCGCAGAGAGAAGGAGACCAAGCAAAGAGTTGTCAAGGTCTCGTTTATTTGCAGGCACAAGCAGTATATAAAGGCAAAAACCACAAATTTGTAAGAGGAAGTGGCTAATTATAAAATGATAAAGGAGAAACATATTGTACAGTAACAGTTATGATGAGGTACAGTTGTTATGTAACAGATTAGGTCATTAAATGAACAAGGCCATTAATACAGTCATTGGCACATCTGTGCCAGTGAGGTGATTCAGATATAAACATGGAGGCAGTTATGTTAGGCTCAAAAACAACTCTGAAAATATGAATATTTGGTCTCCTACAACCTTGTAGCTTTGTTCCCTAAAACACCTTTGAGAAGCAGAACTGGGGGACAACCCACTTTCTGGTCCCTCTACTGTCTCTCTTAGAAGCTGTCTTTCTCTCAGTGTGTCCTACTCTTGAATGGGATAAAATAAAATGAAAATTATTAAAAGAACTAAAAAAGAAACAATAACACATAAACTCTTCCTACTCTTAGCCTCTTGTTGTTCCCAGAACTTATTCCTAGATTGTAGAGAACACAGCTTGAGTTTCAGACACCCAGCGTATTGGGCGTTACGTTTCCCTTGTTTGTTTGGATTACTCGTTGCCCTGCGTCACTAGGGGAAAGGAAGAGAACCCTGTGAGGAGGGATGGCTCCTGATGAAGAGATCACGCTTCCAGGACCCCCGCTGCCCAGGCTTTGGCCGGCCTGGAATATAGGAACAAGAATTCAGGAAATACAGACTCAGGTTGAAGAGGAAGGGAGCAGTGAACTGAGAGGGAGGATGGTTTTTCTGCTCAGGGGCATCTTGACGTCATGAAAGTTATTTTAAAGGGCAGAGGTAGCACAATAATGTGGACTTGTAATCTTTCTTTTTCTTTGCTCTAATCCCTTGTCATGATGCGGCCTCTGGTGAGTCAGAAGCACACACATGACCCCAAGATGAAGCAAAATTGTTACAGCCGTCATGGAAACGGCAAGAAAAAAAACATTCTGGTCTTTCAGATCGATATCGGAGAATCAAAAGGGGAACTGGGAAGGAAGCAGAGATTGGGATTTAGGCCCTGGCAGCGGTAAAGAGAGCACGGAGGACAGCCCTGATGTCATCCGTTCTCCTCGCCAGGCGCAGGGCCATGGGAGCCGTGGCTCTCTGCGGGAGCCCGTTTGTCCACGCGCCTCTGGATAGAGGGTGCCAGGTAACTGAGGCTCGCGGCTGTGGGCGCAGACCCCGCACAGGTGGAACACGACGGCTGGGAGAGGGCTCCCGCCGGCCGCCGGCCCGGCCTCCTTAACCTCTTCCCCGCTGCTTGCGCTTGGGCAGCCCCTATGGTACACGCGGCCCTCCTTTCCTGCTGACCTCTTCCCTCTCATCCAGGCACCATTTCTCTCATTCAGCAAATGCGGCTGCTTTTCTCTCACCGTCAGGCACACGCTTTGCAGTTCTTTACCTGCACCGCGAGAGCCTGAAATCCATCTTTGAGTCCACCTCACGGTGACAGACGCCCGTACCCAGTGACCCTGTGGACGCACGGATGCGGCTGCCATGGTGACCCACGAAAAGCGCTGCTTCCCAGAAGAGTGTGGGAGTCAGAGTCGCTGAGCCCCGGAAGGATGGGAGGTTGGGTGGAAAGAGAGGAACCTGCCCAGGCGCTCTGCCTTCTTGAGGAGGATGTGGGGAGCGAGGGCTGGTGCAGCCAGCGTGTCTGGTGTCCCCAGTGTCTCCCTCTGCACACATGCGCAGAGCACATCTCCAGAGACAGCAGCTCCCAGAATTCACCGCCCTTTGCTTCCATTCCAACTCTGCTGTCGAAATGACACTTGCCCTCGTTTGCTGGGACTGTGAGGCCCTTCAGTAGTTTACAGTAAAAGTTGGGATGCAGTTTCAGAAAACAATTTAAAACCAACCTCCTGTTAGATAATGAACTACAATAAAAAATAAGCAAAGTCCCTTTCAAATAAAAATATGGATTAATGGTAATAAATATTAAAAAAAAACAAGTTTAAAGGCAAACTTAAAAAAAATCTAATTTTGGAAATTGTCATCATTTACCCCTGTTATTTTTTTCCCTTCAAATTCAGGCAGTGCCCAACATCAGTATTTATGGTTATAGAAGGAAAAACATGCTGGGCATTGTGACACATGCCTGTAATCCTAGCACTTGGAAGGCTGAGGCAGGAGGATCACTCTCCATTTGAGACCAGCCTAGAGTCTGGACTACACGGTAAGTTCAAGGCCAGCCTGAACTACATAGTGAGACCTTGCCAAAAAAAAGGACAGCCACTTCACAGAACACACATATATCACATATGTTTCAAAGGCCAAGCTTTTTATATGTAGATCTGGAAATACAGAATGAAATTACTACAAATGCACAACCGTGGAGAGGGAAAATACAGAGGTTTAGGCACAATCACAGTCGAATTTTTCTAATGAGCAACTTCTGTAGCTTTACAGAGGCCAGACACCTGAAAGAACAAGAAAATGTTACAATGAGCAGAAAACAAAGAATGCGGTCAACACAAAGAATCCCAAACCAACATATTTCACAGAAACGTTTGTTTTCACTTTCTCATCAGAGATATTGGAATACGTAGCTCCTAACTGTGAAGTACACTCCAAATCAGGAGCCCTGCTCCCTTCACAAAGTTCAGTACTAGCTGGCGCCTCTCAGCTTCCTGTCCGGAGCTGTCGCTCACCCCTTCCACACTCACACGGATTATTTATTTGGTATTTGCTGTAATATTTTCTAGGAGCTAGAGATGAGTGTCTGCAAATTATAGATGGACAAACTGATGTTTACAAGCAACTTCTCTGCCTCACACGAAATCAGGAACTATAATATGAATAACTATCTGCTGTTGGGCATTGGATCCCCTAGGACCCGTGTATGCAAAACAGTCTGGGGAAAGCTCCATTAGCATTATTTTCTATCTGTTTTTGCAAATAGATTTGTGCATCTATTTTCTATCTATTTGTCCATTACTGGGGGTTAAAACTAAGACTTCTCTACTACTGGGCTACATCCCCGGCCCTTTTTATTTTTTATTTTTGAGACAGAGTCTTACTAAGTTGCCCAGGCTGGCCTTGAATTTATACTCTTCCTGCCTCAGCCTCCCAGATAGCTGGAATTACATATATGCCACGATGCCCAGCTATTTTATCATTTTAGGATAATATTCAAGTTCACTTTCCACATGGAAAATTGCATCTCCTTTTTAGAATAAAAACCATCTTTTAAAAACTCATCACATTTAAGAAAAATAATGATGAAAACCTTTCACAAACACAATGAAGTACCAAAACGGTATGCTTCTCCGCAATTTTCACCCATTCACTTTTGGATGAATAGGGGAAGATGTTAATTATGATTTTGACCCCCTTTGTTATTTGGCCAAACAAAAAAATGAATGCCCTAGAATCATAATGCATCTGCTTGGAATGTACCACACTTGCTGCTTTTTAAATGGTACACAGTTATTTGATTAGAATGCTATCATAATAAGAATAGTGAAATTCAAACTTCAAACACACAACTAATATTTTGTTATTTGTGTTTTGCGTGCCAAGGGTCAAATCCAGGCCTTCAAACATGCTAGGCAAACACTCTACCACTGAGTGGTATGGGCACCTCCAGCCCATAAATAAACTAAAACTTTTTCCTATTAGAAAAATTTCATCTTTACCTATAATTTACCGTTTTTTTTTTTTTTTCTTGGTACCGGGGATTGAATTTAGGATCTTGTGCTTGCGAGGCAGGTGGTGGCACCATTGAGCTAAATCCCTGTCACTGTCATTTCTTTTAAAAACCTGACTCAAATATCTGAACCGAATCCAACTATTAATGGTAATGAGTATGATCAGACCTGAGCGCTTACTTCTAGGAGGAAAGAAAATTGTTTCTCAAAATAAATACTTTCCAAATTTCTAATTTATGGCTGAGTTGTATCCTGGGAATAAAAGGTCAACTTTTACCTGAGCTCAGAAGAAAGAGTTAGCTGCTGAGGTCACTGGGAACGAAGGTTTTCCGTTCTTTGTAGTCTGCAAATGCAGATGTGAAATTCTCTAACTGGTAGGAGAGAGGCTTGGGATTCTCATTTATGGTAAAATTATTGGGAAATTTCTTAAAATCAACATCAATACCTCTGCCCTTAAAATATGCCTGAAGGATCCTGAAAAACTAAAAGAGAAGGAAAAGGTTTAGTGCCATATGGAAGTAAAATATTAAAAATATTGAAAAGTAATCCCTCCCCCCGTTACTTCAAGGTTATTTAGGAGCAATGACTTTGAAAATCCAGAGAGAGAAGTACAAAGTATACGCTTTGGCTATCTCTCCTCCTCTCTGCCTGTTGTTGCCGCCATTTTACCTACAACAAGATCATTCACCATTTTGGTGAAAATAGAGGGAGGTATCAAATATTTAATAGCACCAGGGACAGAGGCTTCATTATAAACATCTCTGTGTGCCGAGATCAAAGTAGAATTGAGCTGCACAGTGGTCAGCATGGTGTCTGTCTGTCTGTCTGCAGGGTGGATCCCAGCCATAGTCGTTTCCTGCAGTAGATCCATCCCCCTCACAGGCTTTTCAAGTTTCCCTTTAGAAATGAGCACACAGAAGCTGTGCAAGGTGCTGTTGGTTGGATTCTTTTAATTCTACATTGTTAATTCACATATTTTCTTTAGAAAAACTACAATTTCAAATACTTGTCTCAGTGTTCATTGTATTTATCATACTTTTTAAAGAGAATTTTTACTGATCTTTTGAATTCTATTTTATAGATAAATGTATGTTGAAAATATACTTTGGAAGCTGATAACCGTGCAGGGTCCCTTTCCATATTTTGCAGTTAAGTTCTGAAAATGTTCATCTGTTTTATCATCAGCTCAATCTATGTTGTGCAAAAAGTAATTGCCTGTCACACTCTTGATTTTTGCATATGTGTTACAAATCAAGGCTATAAAGTCAATGCGTGTATACGATCATTTACAAAAACAAATTTGTTTTTCTTACAGAAACAAATGTGAATTGGCCTGAAAGATAGTAGGACCCCCACCTGCAGACCAGCAAAACTGTGGTCCTGCCCTGCTGATGCCCTTCCCAACCCTGGGGATCGCCTCAGAGCAGTGGGTGCAGAACTCCAGGTAGGGCCTCTCCCTCTAAAGCCGGCACTCCAGGTGTGTCCTTACCAGATCATGGTTCTGGGGGTTGCTGAGTGGCTTCCACGAGTCACTCTTTCTCAGCGTGGCTCCATGCACCTGCCCAGGGAGCAGCAGGGCCATACACAGCAGCAGGAAGGGCACCCGAGACATAGTGTGTCACACGTGGGTGACAGCAGGGATCAGGCTCTGTTGAGGACAGAGAGAAAGGGCAGACTCTATAAAGAAGACAAGAAAGGAGGACTGGTTCACCTAAATTTTGCAGTCATCTTTTTCCAGACTCACTTGCAAATGAGCCCCTCCCATTCCAGCTGGTTAACGTGACAAAGTTCCTGATGGCCAAATGTCTGGAACATCTGAATATGACCTTCTCATCTTTGAAAGAATGCATACTTAATTGTCCCCTGTAAGGTCGGGCCTGACTGAGATCACTAGGGCAGGCAAAATCAAAGCAATATGTGATAAGTTTATTGCCCTCTGGGTGCAGACAGGCCAAGGGCAAGAAGTCCATCGGCACTGAGAAAAGGGTGTGCACAATTGTTATAGGGCAGTTTAGGTAGGGGAGGGGTACTGGTCAAGGGGGTGGAAATATTTAGAATCCAAGGGGTGATGGGCCTGGGGCTGGCTGATGAACAGGGCAGTGGTGGGAGCAGCAGAGTGGCTTCTTGTTATCTCTGTGCTTCTGATGATGTGGGCAGTGGGTCTGCTTAAGGGAGGGTTTCCTTTTGGTTGGGCAGGGATCTGACTTGGGAGACTCGTCATCCCTGCCTGTTGTGTTATAAAGAAGAAGAGAGCAGGGGGTGGTGACGCACGCCTATAATACCAGCACTCAGGAGGCTGAGGCAGGAGGATCAGTGTGAGTTCAAGACCAGCCTGGGCTACATAGTGAGTTCCAGGGCAATCTGAACTACAGAGTGAGATCCTGTCTCAAAAACAAAAAGAAGAAGGAGAAGGAGGAGAAGAAGAAAGGAAGAAGAAAAAAAGAAGGAGGAAGAAAGGAAGAGGAAGAAGGGTACGGGTAGGGGGAATAGATTCTCCTGACTTCTTCCAGTGTGACTGGGGACAGCATAGGCATCCTGTGGGGACAGAAATAAGAGGAGAAAGTGGGGGAGAGTGGTTCAGTCTGGGAGAGAGGCAGCAGAGCTATGAGGAGCATGGCGACCTTGTCAGCTGGAGGCTCGCATTGGGCAGTGACTGTATTGGGCAGTCAGGTGGAGTTGTCTGGATGTGACTGGTTCCTGGTTAAAATCTGTCAAGAATTTTATTATGCAGGGTCCAATCAATGATAGTAGAAAGATCAGGACTAGGGGCTCTAAAATGGTTAAGAGCCAGGACATCCAGGCTGCTTGGAAAAGACCTTTTTAACCATTGATAGGTCCACCTTTTGCCCGTTTGTGAGCCTGGCAGCTTGCTAAGCCAGCAGCAAATATAAGGGCCAGGGGTATGTGGGTGAGTAGGAAGGGAAAATGGCAACACATAAGGGTGTTAGGTGTAGCTAGACAGGATCAGGGGAAGGGTGTAAAGGTGGGTTTTGTCTGGGGAGAAGTCACAGAGGGTTTCCTGGAATAAGAGGTCCTTCATTCAGAGGAGGAACCAAACCAGGGAATCAATCTGAAGGTGGGGGGAAGGAGGTGTGCTGCTCAGGGCAGAAGGGATTTCAACAAATAGGCCTGAGGGTAGTGAGTAGAAAGCAATGAGCCCAAAGCAGAGGGTCTTTTGTTTTGTCTGTGACAGGGAAAGTAGCCTGGTGTTTTGTTGAGGAGTTGGAGTGGGCCTTTTATTTTATATTGGGGGTGATATGTAAGGGGTCCAGACCTGGGGAGGAGCCAGAATGGCTGTATTGCTGGCTGCAGACTTGGAAATGCAGAGCCAGCAGTCTTCGGCTCAGGACGGACTGTGCACATTCAACAGGAAATGAGTTAACTACAAGGTTTTGTACAGGTAATTGGGAACAGCAGGGGGAGTGGCTGGGGCGCTGCCGCAGGACTTGGAGAGAAGAGGAACGGCTAACTGGTCATAGGGCATGGGGAGGAGAAGGGAGAGGTTTGTTTGCAAGAGTGTGAGAAGTGGTCCCATTTCTGAGGTGAAAGACAACTGAGTCAGAACTTTAAACAGAGGCTCTGCGATCAATTTTCAAAGGCCGGGAGTGGTGGCACAAGCCTGTCTGAGGCAGGAGCATCACTGTGAGTTTGAGACTGGCCTGGACTACATAGTGAGTTCCAGGTCAGTCTCAACTACATAGTGAGCCCTGTCTCAAAACAAAAAACAAAACAAAACAAAAAAAGTCAAATGGGAGGAGGGTAAGAAGGAAGGAAAACAATTTGGTTTGTTCTGGGGAGAGTGACACAGACTGCCCTGAAAACAGACATGTTTTATCCAGTTAGGACAGGGCTGAAGGGCGGAGAGATGAAGGAGGGCCAATGTGATCGTTAATTTGTACGGTGGCCAGGATAAAATATAAAAGAAAATGAGACGTTTGGGCTTCAGGTCGGGAGTGAGATGAAGAGGTTTGAGATTTTAAGAACACAAGCCAGGGGAGAAGAAGGGGGAATACAGAAAGGGAGGTTGTGCAGAGCGAAGTCTGGTGTGGGAAATGGGGAATTTGGGGAAAAAGAAAGAACATCTTCAGTCAGTTTCCCTGAGGCTGAGAGAGTGGGTGGGTGGCCAAGTCAGGCACCCCCGAGATCGGGCAGCTGTCAGAGTGTGACCAGGACTGGGTTTTGAGAACACTTCGTGCCTAAGCTGGGTCAGACAAAGCACTCTGGGTGAGAGGGGTGACAAGAGAAGGGTGAACAGGCAGACCTGTCCAGAGCAAGAGGGAGTGAGACCCCAGGATATGCGTATTCTGTTTGGCGAGGTGAAGAGGATGAGTAAAAGAATCACTTACCCAACCTGAAGGGAAGGGAAGGTCTGGGCTATCAGCAAGCCACAGAGGAAGAGGCCAGAGGTCGGATGTCAGGGGTGGCCTCGAAGTGCTCGGTGGGGTTCAGGGGAGGGAGCTCAGGCACTCCTGGGAGAGGAGCTCAGACCTCCCTGTATGGGCCACCAAATGTAAGGTCAGACTGAGGAGGCACGATTGAGGCCACTGAGGCAGGCAAAGTCTAAGCAACAGGTGATGAATTTATTGTTGTCTGTGTGCAGACTGGCCAAGGGCTAAAAGGACATTGGCACCGAGAGAAGGATGTGCAGGGCTGTTATAGGAGAGTTTAGGTAGGGGAGGGGCACTGTCTGAAAGGGTGGAAACTTGCAGAGTCCTGTAAGTAATGGGCCTGGGGCTGGCTGATAAACAGGGCAGTGGGAGGAGCAGCAGGGAGGCCACTGGCTTTCTGTTATCTCTGTGCTCCTGTGGATGTGGGTAGTGGGTCTGCTTGGGCGAGGGTTTCCTTCTGATTGAGCAGGGATCTGGCTTGGAGGACTTGTCATCCCCTAAGGAAAGTGGAAATTTCAAAACAAAACTGAATTTCAAAATGTTAAGTTACTTATGTTTTAACATTGCAGTCTTTAAAAAAAGAATGAGCACCCGGAAGGCAGCCTGGGCCCTGATCCACCGCGGGAAGGAGAACCACGCCTGTTCCCGACCCAGCCACCATCGCTCAAGCGCAGGGAGGGTAGCTGCGCGGTCACCCCTGAACCCCCATAAGCCCCCCCCCCGCACTCTCAGACCTCCTGACTGTGCCAGTCTTTGGACCCACTCTGCAGAGGCAGAGGTGGTCATCAAGGGTATTTTTCTGAGTTCCCAACTTTGAACCTCTTTAAAGAAAGGGTGTGGGAAACCTGTAGTACAATGGTGTGGAGTTCAACCATTCAGAAGGTTTGGGAACTCAATCTGGGCCTTGCAGCCCGAGGTCAGTCTGCACGTCATGGGGTTCAGCCATCAGCTAACTGAGATCAGGGGTCTTGCATCCTCGCTCTGTCTGAGCCATTAAATGGTAAATACACTATATTGAGATTTTGTTCACTGCAGACATGTTCTGGACTGCTTCTTTATTTCAATTTAATTCAAATGGTTTAAGGCTGATAGACTAGTGACTACCACAGGTGGTCAGTTTCCAAGTTGGGCTTGATCTTAATGTGTTGCTGATTGTATCAGTTGGGATAAAGGATTGTAGTTGATTTGATGAGCTGTTTCCTCTGATGTTATGAAGGTGAAAATGTCTGTGGGTCATAGAGACCCAGAAGCTAGGGCACAATTATATGAAGAAGATTTGGGTGATAACCCAGAGATTAAACCAAGGACAGTCTGACAACAAAAATAAAAATGAGAAAGCATTTAAGCAAGACACAAAGACAGACTTCCAGTTCACCAATGGCAAACAGTAGGGCAAATGAGGATGAAAAGGCTGATAGTGAACCACCAGGACACCCTGAACTCAAAGCACAGGAAGTAACAAAACAGATCAATCAAGCTCTAGAAAAATTCACAACAGAAGTAATTTCCCAGATAACCATAGAGATAGTGAGCAAAATGGAAGTCATGATTCGAGACTCTAGAGCAGAAACTGACAAAAAAATAGATGAGCTCAGGACCATGATAGAAGCCATGAAGGCCCAGCATAAGAAAGAAATGGAAACAATAAACGCCCAACACAGGAAAGAAATGGAATCCATAAAACAGATTCAAACAGATATCCAGGAGATTAAACACTCCATTGAAAGTGTACGCAACAGAATGAAAGAATGCGAAAATAGACTCTCAGATATAGAAGATAAGATTGCAGTCAGTGACTGTGAAAAGAGAGGTCTCTTAAAAACAGTAAGGGATCATGAGAAATCGATCCAACAACTCCTAGATGATGCAAAGAAGAATAACATAAGACTGACAGGAATCCATGAAGTAGCAGGAGAAAATACAAATGACTTTAAAAAGCTGTTCACAGAATTAATGACAGAAAACTTCCCAAACAGAGGGGAAGAATTTGACATTCAGATAACTGAGGCATATAGGACCCCAACTAGCTACAATCAAAAAAAATCTACGCCCACACATATAATAATCAAGATCCCAGAAACCCAACAGAAGAACAAAATACTACAAGCAGTAAGAGAAAAGAAACAAATCACATGCAAAAGAAAGCCCATCAGAATCACAGCAGACTTTTCAACACAAACCATTAGGGCAAGGAGAGCCTGGAATGAGATATTTCAAGTACTAAAAGAGAACAACCTCCAACCTAGACTGATGTATCCTGCAAAACTCTCTTTCAAAATGGATAGGGAAATAAGACACTTCCACGACAAAGAACACCCGAGAAACTACATGAATACCAAAACAGCACTACAAGCAATTCTAAACAAGATGCTAGAAAAAGACAATGAAGGCAACCACACCATGAGGCCCAACAGAGCAAATCAAATAGGCAAGGCAAGAAACTAAAAGGAGAAGGTGAAAAAGTAAAAAGAGTCAACAAAAGGCCAATAACATGTCAATAAGAAGTCAGTATATATCAGTTATAACCATCCATGTCAATGGCCTCAACTCACCAATCAAGAGAAATAGACTGGCAAAATGGAATAAGAAGGAAAATCCAACAATATGTTGTATACAAGAAACACACCTAGTGCAAAAAGAAGCCCATAGACTGAAAGTGAAAGGATAGAAAACAATTCTCCACGTGACAGGAGCCCAGAAAAAGACAGGGGTAACAATCTTATTTGCAGACAAAGCAAATTTCTAACCAAAACTGATTCTAGTATTATGATGTAGGATGGTACTGTATCATACCTCTGTGAATGTAAAATATCTTGTACCTGCTGTATGATACATAGTAGTGACCATGCTTTATCAGAGCTATATTTAATGATATTACTCTAGAATGTTCTCTTTCCAGATGATGATTAAGATGCTAATTAAAAAAATGGTGCCAGGTACCACAACAGCAGCAGAACTTTGTTTTCTGGATATTATTCTTTTCTTTGTTTTGTTTTTTTTAATGGAATGTGCTGAATGTCTATAATTTTGTTCAGATGACTGCAGAACCTGGAAAAACTATTGCTGCTATTGATGCATAACATACTGCTATTATTGGTCT